GTTCCTTTCTTTGGTTTAACCAATAATATAATAAGGATTCTATAAGGTATCCCCAAAAAAGGATCTACAATGGAGACTAGAGGTAAATTCTGAAGTCTAAACCCAGAACTGCCTTGGGAGTGAGCATCCCGCAGCCTAAGCTTGAGTCAAAACCAGCTTGCACTGATAGGAAACATGAAGACTGCCGAGCAATAAGATGATGCTCGTGATGGAGATGAGGATGATGGTGACGGTGAGTGATCATGCTGTTGTTGCTGCTGTTGAAGGCTACTGCCGCGGCGAGAACGAGGCAGGCGCTGATGTTGCTCATGGTGTTGGTGGCGATGCGTCTGCTGTAACGAGGTTGATGATGACGGCGGTGGTGATGCTGCTGATCATGGTCCTGGTGGCGACGCAGAAGACTGTGGGGCACGACATAGAGGAACGCTTTGTCTAATATAGAGGCCTAAATTAATAAAGACCTACACTATTCTGGTGGTTCCTTATCATAGTTCTAGTATACTGGGCCCCAAAAGCTCGTTCTAATTATTACAGCCCCTATATTAAGCCTTGAACCTGAACCTAAGGTCTCGAAACCCAGAACCCAAGCTGCTGTCCCAAGCAAAAGGGTTTGTATGGGGCCTGAAGACGCAGAAGTCTTATTCATTAGTCCATTTATACTTACAGTGTACTATCTGCCCCAAGCCTGTTCTAGTTCTTCTGGTCCCTTTGTTGCCGTACTGTTGATGTAGATTTCCAGCCTGTCCTTGCTGCAGGGTTAGGTTTGCGACAGGAACTATAACTCTTACCACTACGGCGCTTACGGCTACGATCCGAGCTTCTACGCCTACATGGGCCTCTGGCAGCAACTTGGCTGCTGTTGGGTTCATGGTCAGCTGGAGTTCAGTAGAGCTTCTCGGGTTTAGAGCTCTAGGACGGATGTTTAGCGGTCGAAAAGCAATTGAATCCTTGAGATCCGCTTTGCAAGCTGCTCTTCAACTTCCGCCCGAGTGAGTCGAAATTGAATTGTCTTTGTATGTATGTGTGTATGTATGTATGCATGTATGTATGTATGTATGTATGTATGTATGTATGTACGCATGTTTATACATACTGTTTATTTGTACTTCACATTGGTACTATGCATGTGCGTGTATATACATTTTATGTGGTTTATGGTTTAGGAGATTGCAAATGCAATCCTGATGATCGAGATGTCTGCGAGGGTTCAGGGTTTCTTGGTTTTGGCTCAGGGTTTTGCGGGCATTTGCTCTATGCGCAGCTTGACGCAGCTTGATCGCTATATCCTGAAGCCCAAGTAAGCCCTGGAATCCCGTAGACCCCGAAGACGAGGCCTAAAGCAAATCCCAGACCTTAATATCATTGGAAGAGGAGCCTCAACAACTAGAGATCTCATTCCTTCACAACCCTAAACCCTAAACCCCCCTCAGTTTCGGCATAGTTTGTCTCCATGAAGCACAAGCCTGCTTGATCTGTTTTCGCCCTGGAGTCAAACCCAAGACCTTCAACCCTAATGTAGGGGCCTAATAATTAGAATAGGGTTGTGGGGCCTCCTTAGTATGATTATAGTATAGTAAACCCCCCAAACCGTATTCTAATTATTAAGGCCCCTAAAGTAGACCCTGAACCCTAAAGTCTAGACACTGAGCCGGGCCAAAATGGAAGCCTTGTGACCCGTAAGACATACAGATGTTACGTAGACAGCCAAACCCGATAAGCCGAGTCCTAAACCCGAAGCCCTAAACCTAAACCACGAAGCCCTAGACTCCACAGGGCTTTCAGAGTTAGGATTAGGGGTTCTGGGGTTTTGGGTTTCGGGTTTAGGGTTGCAGGCAAGTCTGTAGTTTTGGTGTCTGGTGTGACGACGCACCGAGGTATCAATGGCACCATCAGCACTACTACTACGGCTACCACCACCAGGCTAGAAGCACGGACTCTGAACATAGCCAGTTTAGGTCAGAAGTTCCCGCATTAGGTCAGAAGTCCAAAATCCTAATGGTCCCAAGGTGTTGCTAGAGTTCTTCGCCCTCCTCCTCCTCCTCCTCCTGCTCCTCCTGTTCTGCATTTTTCTCATCAGCTTCTTCAGTAGTCCTCGTCATCTTCTTCACCATACATCGTAACCTGTCAACAGCAGCAGCAGCTGCAATGCTCCGTAGTTTTCCAGGATGATTACGATCACTACGACCACTTCGACACGGCGCCCTACGACGCCGTGCCTGCAAGATACGTGTTAAGCTTGGTGATCCTCCCAAGCTCACACGCACTGGTTTTGTCTAAACCCTCAAGCCTAGACCCCTAAAAACCCTAAAAAAACCCTAAACCCTAAACCCTTAAAAAGACAACTAAAAACCCTAAACCCCTAATCCCTAAAAACCTTAAAGCCTTAAAACTCCTAAACCCCTAAAAACCCTAAAAACCCTAAACCCCCAACACCCCTCAGAAACCTAAAAGCCCTAAACCTGAAACTCTTAAAACCCTACCTAAGAACCCTGAACCCCCAAAATCCCTAAAACAAAAACCAAAACCCCAAACATCCTAAACCTCCTAAGACCCTAAAAACCCTAAAACCCCCCAAACCCCTTAACAAACCTAAAAACCCCAAGCCCTAAACCCTAAACCAAACATGACTCAGGGCTTCGAGGCTTTCTGCTTCCTCGGGCTCGCATTGGCGGGATTGAGAGCCGTCCACACATCTGAAGGGTTTAGAGTTTTCTTGGGTTTAGGGGTTTAGGGTCTAGAGTTTTTTGGGCTTTTGGGTGCTTAGGGGTTTGGGGTTTAGAGTTTTTTGGGCTTTAGGAGTTTATGGTTGAGGGTTTTTAGGTTTTTAGAGCTTTAGGGGTTTCGGGGTTTAGGGTTTAGGGTGTTTAGGTTTTTAGTGGTTTAGGGGTTCAGGGTTTTGGGTTTTTAGGGCTTTAGGGGTTTAGGGTTTTAAGGCCCCAAACACAAGGAACAAGAACCGTTCAACCCGGAACTGCACCGCGGAAATGCAAAGAACAACAACCGATTCGCCCTGAACCCTAATTTCCAACAGTATAAAGACAAGCAGACGTTGAGTCCCAAACCCTAAGGCCTAGACCCTTAGTGCAACACCACACCTA